GTGGGGCATGTTTCAGAATGTTATAAAAAAAGCTGGAAAAAACATAATTTGTCCCCTGAAGTTACCATGTTGGAAATGTGAATGACAGTGTCCCATATGGGGAATCCAATAATTCACCATGTTGGAAAGGTGAATAATTGTTTCCCATGTTGGGAATCCCATGATTCATCATGTTGGAAATGTGAATCACAAAAAGCCCCATGTTGGGAATCCCATAATTCATCATGGTGGAAATGTGAATCACACCCAAAGATCCCTAATTCCATGTGGAGAATCCACGAATCCACTAATTCATCATGTTGGAAATGTGAATCACAAAAAGCCCCATGTGGAGAATCCCTAATTCATCATGGTGGAAATGTGAATCACCTTATTCACTCCATAGTAAATATCAAATACAGTTTTCACCACACAGAAATGTGAAATACATAACTGTATGCTGGTTGTACCCAAATATGAGTTGTGAGAATTGTTTTAACTATTCATTTCCTCCTTGTACAAAAAAGTAAAATAAAGTAAAACCCTAAATAAATACATGACAGGCCCCACCAGAATATGAAACAGTGAATGCCAATACACAGTGCATCCAGAAACAAAAGTGATTGATTAAATGTTGTTATGGTGTTGTAGCTCCTTACCACAAAGGACTGTGCAGGTAAAATGTGAGAAGTATACAGTCCACAAACCAGGTACATTTTAGTGAAATAAATATCTACTATATCAATTGGACACAGCACCAGTATATGCCCTATTGCAGTAGTAATACCTTCACAAACTTAGACAAATTCCACCAAATACAATAGACGTGAGATGATCACAAAAGTTGACCACAATATATAAACTTTCAACGTCACTTAAAAACTCATGTACAAATGTATATGCTAACTGTCTTAATATAAACAACATAGTATCACACATAGCAAGCTATTGAACAGTGTGTGCGAAAATAAAATCTTTGGAGCCACAAAATTTGATTTAGAATCAAACTCAGTAACATTGCAACATATTACAAATTGCTCAATAGGGCTCTGACGGGTAGCAAAAATTGGACTCGAGTACCCGGGGACTAAAACCCAGCCCGGACTCAAGTACCCGAAAATTATAGTATAAATTTTAGTGAGAGCTATGTGCGTGCATTTTAAGTAGTTTCAATGGAATTTCACACAAGAATGCCGCACCTGTAAGTTAGGACGTCTGTATTGAATTGAAAACTTACACAAAATCTTTCCTTAAAACGTGTGGTTATCAATTTGATGAAACACAAACCTAATATCATTGACTTATTTGACTAGCATTGGTCTATGCAGGGTCACATTACTCAACTGAACACTGGCGCAAACAGCCCATAGCAGAAACCAGTTCATGTGAAGTATAGCGCCACATGTTGCAACACGTGGTTATGAATACACAAAATGTAACCCCAAAAATATCCCTGCGTCAACGTGGCCTGCTTTTTGACAGGATTTTGGGAAGAATCATTCACACTGACGGACTTATGTTTCATGTTAAGATGTTTTCTCATTGAGCTTGTTGAGCTCCCTGCATAACTCAGCATAATGTCGCAAAGGCAACACTTGGTTTTGTGTTTTGAAGTGTCAAGATCAAAATGGGCCTATACGTTTGACCTTTTATCATCCATGATTGCACATGTGGTCACGTTTAGTTTAGAGTTATCTCCCGTTGTCGGGTACTCGAGTCCTGGAATTTTGGACTCTACCCTACCCGTCAGAGCCCTACTGCTCAAGTAGAAACAGTCTTTTCAGGAAACAATTGAAACTAAAATATTGCAGGTTAATGTTTACAGAATAGTTTCCCTTCAGTAATTCTTCAAACATATTATCAGGGACACCGGTATCTATTAATTCAAGCATATATTTGTTCGAACAAAGTTTATAGACATGTAATCAGGTGCACAGACACAAACAGTTTGTGATTCATGGATAACATCACCTCTGGCCATGAAATAAAACATCTTTTGAGTAACCAGCACGGACATTGCTAATTCGTTCATGTAGAAAATGAAAAGTAAATCCTTTTTCACAGAACCAGTGGTTTTACTTGCTTTGAAATGTAGACACTATGACCATCAGTACATTTTAGCAATATTTACAACCATGAACAAATAAATATCTCTGTTATTCACAGTGGTTTAAAATGTTGCCAAAAATCGAAACAGCATATTGTGTATGGTAAATGCATCTTTTCTGTAGACTTGCTTGAAATTTTATGATTCTGTATTATTGTGATGATACTTATGCTAAATCATTGCACAGTAGCTGGTGTATGGATTATTATGTTGGAAATGTGAATCACAGTGTCCCATGTTGGGAATACCATAATTCACCATGTTGGAAATGTGAATCACAATGTCCCATGTGGGGAATACCATAATTCACCATGTTGGAAATGTGAATCACAGTGTCCCATGTGGGAATCCCATAATTAACCATCTTGATAATGTGAATCACACTGTCCCATTTGGGAAATCCCATAATTCACCATGTTGGAAACGTGAATCTGCTTATTCACTCCATAAATGGCAAATACAAATTTCATCACACAGAAATGGGAAATACATTATTACCTCATGATAAATGGGAATCAAGTAAAATCATGGAGGAAATGGGAATCACATTATTCACATAACAGGAAATGGGAACAGGGTAATCCAAATGGGAATACTGTTTAACCATGGCATTGTACAACATGGGAATCACATTATTCACATAACAGAAACAGTCAGTAAGATTCAAACATACTGGGCAAGAAATGGGAATCAAGATAAACCACGTATGAAATGGGAATCAAGTAAAACCCTGTATGAAATGGCAAACATAACTAACTACTAACACAGAAATCTATTTACCAGGGCCTCCTTTCACGAAGCAACCTTTACTAAGGTTAACCTTAACTCCCATTCTTTAACACTGCACTAAGGTTCACTTAGTGACTTACGATCACTTTAGTGCTTTGTGAAAGGAGGCCCAGAGCCATGTCATACAACTTTTGTCTTTTGTTGTCTTTAAACAACCACACATTTGTAGACATTAGAAAAGGAGAGTTGTAGATTCACACCCAGATCGGCAGGAAATCATAACTTTTCCTTTGAAAAAAGGCTTTTGTGTGTACATTCATTTGGTACATCTTTTCTAAAAATAAACAAGTGAATTACTCCCGAGAGCACATATTAATCATAATTCTTTACTAATTTACCGGATGGGTATTTGGACAAAAGAAACTTCCTTATAGTGAGTGAGTGAGTTAGTGAGTTAGCTCAAACTTTGCTCTTTCATCATTTTCAGTAGCGTTTACTGTTATTATATGTCCTTTTATTTGCTGAGCCCACAAGAACAAACAGAAGTTTACAAGATTAGGTCCTGGGACTGATGCAGACTGTTATAACATATGCAATTCATGCCAAAAATACATAAGGGTATCCAAGTTTGGATGGATTGGAGTGGTGTGGCGTGGTATCAACTGAGGCCGGTCCAGCCATACAGAAATATCAATTGTTCACATCACTGACTAAGAACAGCAAAACAGATAATTTTCCATGCATAGGATCATTGTCAAATAAATGGTGTCCACAGATAGCTCAAGTTTATAGCAGACAGATCATGTGCTGTGAGGTACAATCAATCTGGATGTGTCTCAGTGTGCATACAAGTCAAATAATGTTTAGAAATTGTTGTGATATTCAAGTAGGGGGAGGCGGGAGAGGGAGACTTGTATTATTGTTTGAACCAGAATATTTGCAAAGTCAAAGATTTAAAACCTACCATTTTTCTCTTTGAAACAGGAAGTATTCACATTTCATTTTGTACGAAATTCTGAATGATATTTTGTTGTGATAGCGAGTATGGAGCTTGCAGAACTGGCAGTATTACTGCAAAATCAAGGTGGGAGCACCATTATGGGCTTCGAACATTACAGGAGCATTTTTTGAACCACCATGCTACTCCTTGTGGTTGTAAAACCTGGATACAAAATGACTTTACATAGCATTTTCAGGAACAGATTATTTCGCTAAACACAAAAACATAAAAAATTCTCAAGCCTCTCCCCTCATTGCTGCACTGGCTCTTTGGTGTTGTAAAACCTGCAGACAAAATATCTTACCATTGCATTTTCAGAAACAGGTCATTTGACAAAAGGACCCAGAAAAGAATTCCCATCCTTCCCCTTGGAACATCACATGGTTGTCCCTTAGGGTTACAGAAGTAGAACAAATTTAAAATACAAAACAATACAAATATGGATCTTCAGCATGATTGAGCTATACAGTCACATTGTCACCAGGGCGGCATAATGTTTATAGATCAGGGATTGATTGAACAACAAGGTCCTTTTCCACGAGGCAATCTTAGCACATGTACTGTCACAATGTTAAGACATGGCAGTTATGATCATCTTAGTGCTAAGGTCATATGTTGGAATGGGCCCAGGTGAACAGCTAAGACAAAATTGCTCAAAGAGACACAACATTATTTGTTGGTTAGGCCAGACCAATTATATTTCTTGTTTATGGATCCGCCGGTCGTATTTTTTCAAGAATAAGAAAAAAAATAAAATTAATTTTCCCTGCTCAAAAAATAAAATCCTAATGTTTTTATTGGGCAAAAATGTAAACTTACAAGATTGTTTTTTTGCCCCATATACACTTCATAAATTCCCAAAAGTAAAATACTTTTAGTATTTAGAAGGAATATTACTTTGACTGTTCATTTTATTTTTATTTTTTTCCCCCTCCTGCCTTTAGATTTTCTGAGGACAAAAAGTCCGTAAAACAAGAAATAAAATTGGTCTGGCCTTAAGTACAGAAAACAGACAACAAGCACGCTATGGACAAGCCGTGCTATCAGTGTTATTAAACTAGCTGATCTATACAAAACCACAGACATTGTTTCAAGCTTGAAGCTAAAGACTGTGACGACTGTTAACTGTTCTATTGATGTTGACTGATTCCAAGCAAAAACTTTCAGGTAGGAAAAATAGCAACATTGTCAACATATACATTTTATTGCTTTTTTCTGTTCCTGTATTAGTCCAATTAATTGTACACCCTGCATCACGGTCAACGTCTGTCCTTCAGGATACAGTCAATATAACCTCCTTCTATTTTATACTGGCAAACCCTTACCACAGAATACCTTGACTATCATGGGCATTTCACACACGAAACAAAATGATTCAAACATAAAAAAAGGTCCAGCGTAAGCAATCAAATAAGTTGAACTTGACCCCTTTGCTCTGTACCAAACGTATCAATACATTTCAATGACAGTTAAAGCAACATCACAAAACAAACAAAACAACCCAAAATAATAAATTAATGCAACAAAATCAACAATAAAACAGCTTACACTGACTAAATAGTTGAATATTTCTGAAAAAATGGCAAACGTAATTTATTAGGTGCATCTGTGCATAAATGAACAGAGAAATAATTCGATCTCCTTTTAAAGTGCAAACATAAATAGCCTAATGTCTGGCTGTCTATTTCACTGGTTTAACACAACATAATATTGATTTATTTAATTGGTTTTGAGTCCATACAATAATCAGGCAGATTATATTTCTCTTCACATATGTGACCTTCAATAAAACAGACCCACTACCAAGGTAAGATTTCTGGAAGGGTGGGCACCGGATGTACTTAAGACATACACAGGTTGGCTCATTGTCCCCACTGGTACTATGAGAATGTAGATAAACATGAGCTGATGACCAATATGACCTATGACAAGCATGAGCCGATGACCAATATGACCTACGACAAACATGAGCCGATGACCAGCTGGAGGCAATGACCAACATGAGCCAACTACCTGCTTCAGCCAACGACCAACATGACCAGCAACCAGCATGAGTAACTGACCAACGTGAGCCAACATCCAACATGAGCCAATGACCAGAACGACCTACAACAACATGAGCCAACGACCAACATGAGCCAACGATCAACAAGAGCCGACAACCAACATGAGCCAACATGTGATAAGCTGTTAGCACTGCATGCATATATGAGCAAGCCTAGATGGAAAACAAGATTCAACAATGCATTATGTCAATACAGAACAATGGACATTGTTTTAAACTGAATATATCACGTAGAGAGATTTCAAGTTGGGGTTTTACATACCACGGTCAACATTTTCATCATCACATTCATAACTGTCTCTGATGACATCTCCCAAAAGGTATTGTGCCTGGCTATAAGATAGTTCTCACAAACTGAAAGTCCATCACTACCCAGGGTATGAAATAAGTCAAAACCCCAGCATGACATCAGGGCTGGTATCTTCAAAATGTTACCAGTCCAAAATGGATTTAACCAGACCAGACACCAAGATATGACTCAGATGTATATAACATCTCAATTTTTTACCAGACCATCAGGCTGGCAAGCTGTAAATCTACACCATCCGTCTGAAATCTAACCCGTCTTGGGCGGTCGGACGGGCCTTATTTGATACACTGCTTTAACAGACAACATCTCAGCATGGCAACGTCAAGCGAACAAAATGTGTTTTCAGATTCTCCCTTCCTTATATCTCATCCATGTGGAGATCATTCCTCCTGTGACAAGTAGCCCATTATACTCCATACTTCCCATTAAAAGCCATTACAGAACAAGCGACACAGTGCGACCACATAGCCTTACTAAACACAATCATATAGGGTTTAGGGAAAATAATTTGTGCATATGGTTTTCTACAGCTATATATTTTTACACTAGCCACCCAGACACTCATCATCTGTATGGCAGATATCAGATAATATGCATGAAATAAAACATGGGTATTAAAAATACTAATACTCAAATAAATTGTAAATATATACAACACCCAATATACAGGTCAACTTGTTTGGTATAACAGTCCAACATAAAATAGTGCATCGGTAAAGTAGCCGGAGACCGATATTTAGTTCAGGTCCTCGCTTTGGCATTGTATATTGATTGTTGGTGATGAAATTGAGAAAGGGAGACAACTCCTACACTCCTGACAAGCTTTGTTTCCTCATGGACTGTTTTGCTGTGAATTGGGCCTGGCACTCTCATTTTACATCCTTCAACTTCAATGATAAACATATGATAACTGTATTGCAAACAATGAAATATGTATTCTAGGTTTGAGTCTAAATTTGTGATTATACTGTTGATCAGACGTAAAGGATCTCTCGATTCTTTCATATTTCTATTATGTTAATCTCTCATGGTTAGACAGTCAACTAAAGAGGTATCAAAGGAATTAAGTGCTTACTTCTTTTGATCAGTAAATATAGAAACAAGAAACAAGGAGAGAACATGAAACAGTAATGTAACAATGCTGTAAAATTGTCGCTCCGTTGCTCACATTTTAGCCTGAACATTTACCTAATGCAAAACCTGCACAAGAGCAAAATATTTGTTCAACAGCACTATATTTCCGTTTGAAATTTTCTTATTTAAAAATCAAAAACAGACTGCTGCATATTTTATTTTTGTCATTGCCCAAGGTCAGAGAGTGTCAACCTCTTCATATAAAAGTTTCATGTTTTTTTTTATAGTTAATTACATACACTATGAGACACCACTTGGACAACGACGGCACATGCACTGCTTTAGAGGAAGGTGCTGACCACGAAGGTCTTAGGGACTCTGAAGGAGGACAATGTTATAAACAGTTGCAGGAACCATTGGCCCTAACAGGAAGCTGTATGGGATAAACTATGAAAGTAGAAAATGCTCAAATAAATCTGTAACCATAGTGACAATACAAACACACAAAACATTTCAGGAAAGTTAAAATGGTTATGCTGCAATTTCCTGCTTTGTGAAAATACATAATTGTGGATCAAGAGTAAAGTAAAAGAAAATGAAAACAAATTTACTGCATCAACCCAAAATCAAGCTGGCCTTAATAAATAGAAAAAAAACATCAAATTTTTTTCTGATTATTGACATGAAGCCCCCTCGTATGTCCTGCCAGGTATCTGGCTGCATTAGCAGATATCCTTTTAAAAAACAGCAGCAAAAAACAAACAAAACATCTTGCTTCCTTTATATCACTTTAGTAAGTGAGTGAGTTTAGTGTTACGCCACTCTTAGCAATATTCCAGCAATATCATGGCAGGGGACACCAGAAATGGGCATCACACATTGCATGCATGTGGGGAATCGAACCCAGGTCTTCAGCGTGAAGGCTTTAACCACTAGGCTACCCCACCACCCATTATACCATTTGAAATAAGGTTAAAACGTATCCGATCAATCATCGAAAATATTGTGGAATAATGACCCATGCCATGGCACTATGATTTTTTGTGATGGCCCTGGAAGTGTTTTTATAATAATCTGTCATTAATTGTTCACTGGGCATGATATAATGTGCGAGAATCAAATTGTTTGCAACATAAACCCAACATAAAACTACATGCTGAAGCTGAAAACAAAAAACAATTTGTGTCTTTAAACAGAAATTCAAACCCTCCGACCAAATATTAAATGGCTGGTCTCTGCTAGATATGATGAACTGACAGACTAGTACACAACAGATGCTACCAGTAATAATAAATCATTTCAGGTGATCAAATATACAGTTGCTATACACAAGACCTGAACGTGTGGTTTATATCGGTTGTTGATGACAGACCAGATCAGACAACATGAACAGAGGATGACAATGTGAGTGTGATGCAGCCCTCAGACACACCAGGGTATACACTAGTGTTGGATATTGGTTAAAATCTCGTAATTGATGATCGGTTAGCGTCATTTATCAAATTTTCCTGATATGTTTGTTAATGCACAAAAGTTTGGGGTTTCTTGCAAATTGCACAAAATTTTGCATTTGCAAAATTCACATCTTTAAAGGATTACTGGTATGTTAGGAAAATAAATTTCCTCGAGTCTTTAAGAAATACTCAGTCATGACTTGGAACGAGCTTGTAGTGCTTCTGAAATGTAAATGTAATGACACAGACAAAAAAACTTGTGAAAAATAATGTTAATGCAAGGAAGTGTTCCAAAATTGCTTGTGTTCGATTATGAGAAAACATGATCGTTGCTTGGTCGTTTAGTCACTGCGATCAATCTTCGATTATTTTAATTAATCGGACCACCTCCAGTATACACAGAAAATATTCCCTACATAGATGGACAGTAACTCTTGACTTTTCTTTCCTTGTCATGAGGAAGTATATTCCAATAACATTAATATGGGGAGGGTTGGGACGAGTGTGATGCAACCGTCAGACACACCAGGGACTATACAGATGTTATTCCCTACATGGGTGGACAGTAACTTCTGGCTTTTCTCTGCTTGTCATAAGGAAGTATATTCCAATAACATTAATATGGGGAGGGTAAGGATGGGACTGTGATGCAACCCTCAGACACACAAAGTTATGTACACACATTTTAGTCAACTGGACACATTGTGAATAACAAACATCTCAGGAAGATTAGTGACTTTGGACTAAAACGCTCATTATGTTTAGATAAGGGCATGCTAGAGGTCCTCACTTCCCGATATACTTCATGCACAAATCTTCTAACTACTAAATAGTTGAGAAGCTGCTTGATTAGCAGAGGAGTAACTTTGGTTTCATGATGCTTGGCACAATATATAAGTATTATCATGGAGAAACATCTGGAGCAATGCAGGTATAAGACATTGCCTCTTTGTTGACACCCCCCACCCACCCCCAGCACTAGGATGGTGCTGACAAACCTAACCCTATATCAGATCAAACCTGGGATTCAAACTCATGATCACTGAAACTTTGATGCAACTCTCCACATTGGTTTCCATGATAGAATTGCTATATGTCTCTAAACTAATGTCGCTTAGTGGCGAGTACAGCAGCGTGCAGTGAACTTGGACAAAGTACTGTGACTATGTGTCCCAGTCCACCCAGCTGTGAATGGGTACCTCGTTAGGATGAAAAAGCCACAATAACTCGGTGCACCTAGTGGCTGCAAGAGCTGAGATTGATAATACGATGTGCCGTTGAGATTGACATCCAATGATCGAGGGAAAAAATACCAGTGCCTTGAGCAAGCACTAGTTGCCAGGATATGTGCGCTATATAAATATCGTATAATAATAATAATAAATAATAATAAACTGACACAGAACATCGACGTATCAGATGTATATGTGTAGCAAAAGGTGTCTATAATCTTTATAAACTCACAAGCATGTATCTTGGGTTCTGAATCTGAATGGTATGAACATGGATCTGAACCCATGTTCTTCAGATCCAGGCACCTAAGGGAAGCAACTCTGCACAGTGAGTTATTGGCCTTACATCAAAGGGCAATCCATTCTGCCTTCAGCAGCAAGAAAACTTAACCACCAAGTACCCTGGATAACTGAGGGTTGTGAAATGTATTCTATAATGAAATGTACAAAGTGATTGACAGGACGTACATAAACACACATCACATCATGAAATAAAATCTTAATCATACATTACATACGACATGACAAAAGTTGCCACAAAAACAAAAATTCTGATTTTGTCCAGGTTTTTGTTAAAGCCAACAGTTACGATATCAGAACGTAAGAACGGCTTAATACATCATCAATCCAGATCTGACTGTACAGGAAACTGACAGGTGTGTGATAATGTGTATATTACAGGGAAGGTGAATAATGACACTGGTAGCAAAGATGGAAAGTTTCCTGCTCTAAAAATAACAATGGTAAACATGCGAACATCTCGAAAAAGCATCTTACATCGATAGGCTCAACTCTGTCAAAGATCTGTCAAAGATACGCAGTCAACATGATCATAGTATGAATCTGTCAATACACAACTCGTAAATTCGTCAATCTCATTCAGATCAGATCCTTTACTGCCATGCAATAGGTCCCTGCATTGGAATCTGGAAGGTCACATCAGGTCAAGACTGTGTAAACCTTAAAACCCAGTCAAAAACAGACACAGTGTTCTTCAGTCAATCCAATGTCAGAATTCTAAAACAATCTAACATTTATTTCCTTACTGGAGATGTCAGAGGTATATCCTCCTGAAGTAAGAATCTGATTTGAATGAGATATTTAATACATAAACCAGCAACCTAGGGCTGTAAAGATCCACTGCAGGGTAAGGCAAAAGATGACACATGCCTTTTCTGTGAATTTAACAAACTTGGTTCCACTGTCTGTAACTAGTTAGGACTTAATGGTTATATAGTTGTTCACAATTTAACCAAATGATTTTCTATTAACATCTTACTTGAAACACAACTATTATTTTTCAGTTTTGTGTGTGACTGTTCATTTGGCTACCATGGCATTTGATCATAATGATTACTTTTGGAGCACCTTGTAGCCTTTAAAGTTTATACAAAAGACCCAAAAATATTTAAAGTGCTTTTTTTCTTCATCCATTTTCTCCAGAAACCAACTTCATGTTAGGAGAGAGAAAATTCTTGAACAATTTACCAGAATAAGAGGCCTAATTCCTTATATACATATTGTTGTGACATAAACTGTCTGAATATTCTGTAATGTGGAGTCATCTACGGATAACCCGCCAAATGGTCCTGCTGCTTAATAATAATCACTGTCACAAGACTGTTACCCATTACTGGACAGAGGTGACCTGTACACTGAACATCTTTAACAGGTGATAAACATGTTCCTATATACACCTATTGTGCTCTGTTCATTTTTGAGAGAGGTGAAAATCGTGAATCTATATGCACCTGCTCTGAATTTTTCATTGTTTAACTGGGGTTACAATCATGGACATATATGAACATTTTTTATCATTACAATCATTAACCTATATTCCACTTCTGTGCTTTGTTCATATAAACAGAGATGACAATCATTAACCTATATTCCACTTCTGCGCTTTGTTCATATTAAAGAGAGATGACAATCATTAACCTATATTCCACTTCTGTGCTTTGTTCTTTGTTCATATATTCCACTTCTGTGCTTTGTTCATATTAAAAGAGATGACAATCATTAACCTATATTCCACTTCTGTGCTTTGTTCATATTAAAGAGAGATGACAATCATTAACCTATATTCCACTTCTGTGCTTTGTTCATATTAAACAGAGATGACAATCATTAACCTATATTCCAATTCTGTGTATTGTTCATATGAAACAGAGATGACAATCATTAACCTATATTCCACGTCTGTGCATTGTTCACATTTAACAGAGATGACAATCATTAACCTATATTCAACTTCTGTGTACTGAACATTTATGACAGGTGACAATCATTAACCTATATTCCAATTCTGTGTATTTTATATTTCACTAGGTTTACAATCATTGACCTATAACCTGTAAACACTATTAAAGTATCGTATAACAATATCAAATAACCAATGACGACATATCTACCTTAAACCCACTCAATACAGGACAAGTTCTTGTGTTAATAAACTCTAGCCTTGATCACCTGATACACACACTGTATCATAACAAAGTGCATGATTACAGCCCTAGCGTAACCATGGTAACAGCAATATTGCAACATACAGAGAACATCTCCTTCTAAATTACCGGGCAATACGTACCAATGATTGTATCTATCATACATACGATATCTATATGACTTTGATTATCCTGTATGCAACCTTGAGGTCAAATCTAATTCTGCCATTCATGCCTAAAAAAATGTTCATGTCAAGTTCACGTCTGCTGTGACTCGATGGGATGTGCATGAATTCACGAAACATTTTGGCTGTTACAGTCTGTGCTAACGATCAAAGGATAAGGGAGGACATCAGTTTTATGAACACTAGTTATTGTACCAATCCTCAATGTACCGTATGTCCCATACACAATTCATCCCTTCAAACTTAAACAGAGACTCTTCCCAAGGTCAAACACTGGATGTGCATTTTGACTCAGATCATTAAACACCGATAACATTGTTCAATCATGCAGTGACCAGTGTCCTTGATACAAGATTCACACAGGGCAACACAATAAATTGACATCGGGTCTGGTCATAAAACAGAAATCCTTTTGGATTTGTGCTCAAATGAAGGGATGTGTTCTTGAACTTAGATGATTCTTTTATCTCCTTTATGCTGACTTGTTATCAAAAATTAACATTCAACACAATAAATTAAATTTGGTTCAAATCTTTTCAATATTTGTCAAAGTTAACACCAAGAAACTAATCACACATTTTTCTTAACTTTCGTGTGACCTTGACCTAGTTAATATTTACTGATCTGGAAGGTCAAACTTGGTTTCTGGACTAAATAACTTCGACAAATATTTCACGAACAGCTGTACAAATCCCAAACCAGTTATTGATTTTCCGCATCTGAGAACCGAAATGTCAACAGGAGAAGGTGTAGGCAAACACTAGACATAACTGTTGAGCTAATCATCATTGAGGATGGAAAATGGCACAAGTAGAAATGACTCCACATGGTGTAGGACAGTCAAGATACCAATAGGCAAGAATTACAAACGCAGGACCAAGGTCATTTCCAAACAACAAAACTATCTTGAGTTGCTTGCACTTCCAATGGTGATGTCCAATGACACAATCTTTGGCATTCTATTAACATGGGACATAGATTGAAGTTTGACTCATAAAATTTGATTGGCTGGCATCAATCTGGATAAGGGAATTCCAGTAAACTTTTGTATCAAAAATGTCCCTTTAAATATATGACGGAAAAAGGGTGTTTGTTGCCACTCAGTCACTGCAGACAACACATACTTTGAATTGTATTACTGCAACCTTCTATACCGATCCCTTAATCCAACGATGTCTGTATGAAACATATGACACAATAACATTGGACCAGCTCTACCAAAGACAACCATGGACAGATCTACTTCTTCCCCTTCCCAATCTTGCTCCACTTCTGCAACTTCTGTACCAGTTGTTTACATGGAGGCGGAATCGGCGTCTCGTCCCGCAAGTGGAGAATGCCTTTCTGGACAAAGTTATAGGTATTGTTCAGTGTACGTGGGTACTGCATGTTGAACACCCAGTATGATGAAAACAGCGTTGCAAATGCCATCGTAAACTCCTCAAACTCTTGCAGAACCGTTTCCTCGGCAACCAGGAAAAATTCATCACTTTTGAAGATGCTCCCTCGTGCAATAAGAATTGGAACAACTTTCCCTCGTGGATCGACCTCATCCTCTTCACCGATCTCGCGAACCATCTCGACAATGTTTTCTTTGAGAAGCAGAGGTATGAGACACAGTGCTGTCACCATGTCCCAATACTGCTTCAATGCAGCGTTGTCCTGCTTGGCTTGGTCTGCTTGTTTCAAAATGGCTGCCGATCCAGATGTATGCTTGGCCAGTTCTACAATCCCTGGAGCAAACTTCACACAATATTCCTGAATGGTGTGATCAATGTCTATCTTGGAGATCCTCTGGAATTCCAACAACATATTCTTCCCTGTGAACAAATCTGGGTATGTTTCTAGAATAATGGGAATTCCTGGCATTTCAATCGTAATGAATGAGCGCCTGATGTCAAATGTGTCTTCTAGCTGTTTGGTGATTTCTTCAGGTGACCTTAGGTCTTCTTTGGATGTTGAAGGTTGTTCTCTCTTTGGCTTCTTCTCAGGCTGGGATGATGGTTCATCGTTGTGGCCCCCCTCGGCCACCACTGCTGCTGCTGCTGCCACAACTGACGACGGCACTGGCACCACTTCGGCCGTCATCGCTGCATGTTTCCGCTTGGGTTTCTGGGACATGTCGCTCCAAGTGTCAGACGGCACTGAAGACAGCACTGCAAATAAATGAAAATGTTGTGTCAAAAATCAACAAAGATTTGTTTCAAACATCACAACTTTCACCAACAGCAAAGAAGCATGGACGGGAAGACAACTTTTGTTTGCATCTTGACATTTGCAGGACTTATGATTCAAACCTGATTAAGCACAGTCTAGAAACAACATGTGAACACATCTATAATGATTTGCTCAAAGAGAGAATGAGGTTAGTTTTACACCGCACTCAGCAGTATTCCAGCTATATGGCGGCAGTCTATAAATAATCTGGACCAGACAAACCAGTGATCAACAGCATGAGCATCGATCTACAAAAGTGGGATACAATGACATGTATCAACCAAGTCAGAGAGTCTGACCCATCGATCCCATTAGTTGCCTCATACGATAAGCACGAGTTACTGAAGATCAATTCTAACTCGGATCTTCACGGGTTACTCAAGGATTTTCAACTTGCTCAGATTTTGTGTTGACAATCTTATGGGTAGGTTTCCATTATTAATGAGTGAAAAAACTAAATATGCTTGTTTCTACAGTAACAGGGAAGGATAACAATTGATAAACTCTCACTATAATATAAAGTTAGCTCTCACTGTAATAAAGAAGACGTTCATCCATATATTGTTATCCTTCCAAACAACTCCGACTTCTAAATGCCTCTCAAAGAAATCTGTACTACACAAAACTGTAAACTAGGTATTTCCAACATTCAGACTGCACCTTAAACTGTTTCGTCCACAGAACCCTGAAAATAGATCTAACACCTTTTCTGAATATGATAACTTTGATTACTAACCATTGTTTTACAGGTAAATGACACCTCAAGTATTCACATCATAAAAACAAAACACTTGCTGCTTTTACCTGTTGGTACTTCAAGGCTTGCTTTAAGGAAATCAAACTTACTTGCACGCAGTGCAACCTTACCCAATGACCATGTTGCACCAGACAAAATCAGGTTGCACCTGTTGTTTAACATGTAACTTTATACAATGCTTGAATATTGGTATTAATGATTTAGAACATCACTAGAACAAAAATATTCTAGGTCTGATAAGACATTTTGTGTTATTTCATAAAAAAGCATAAGGTGATCAGCACCAGTCATACTAACACTGTCTGAGTTGTCATCAGAGTCACTGCTCAAAGACAGTTCCTTATTATTCTGTTTTCCAGTTGAAGTCTTAATATTAACATGCACTGGGTGTAAGTTGGTATAACTATGAGGTTGCACTTTCAGGTTGCACCTGTGCAAGTTGGTATAAATATAAGGAGGCATTTTTCAGTTTCATGTTGGACCTGTGCAGGTTTTAAATGCTTAAATCAAGCCTTTTACTTTGTGTTCCCTATTCACAATGGCACTTTTTTGGTAGTCATGCCAGATTAAAACCTTAAACAGTTTGGGAGTCATCATTGGTGGGAATCAGCAAGTGAACTTTTCAGCTTCATCATCCGAAGGTTTTGTCTAACACAGTGATGGCCGATGCCAGACAAGCAGGCCATGACCGCTCACAACTTCCAGTCAACTGAGTTAAAACTGGAAACGACACCCGCCTTTCAATTTCTGAAGATGAAAATCTAATAACTAACTTCTTTGAGCCCAACACTAACTGTTGTACATCACTGATTTACATAGAAATACTCCAAGCCTTTTAGCACTTAATATCTTAATTATAATAATTAGGTGGCATTTTGGCGCTAATGGTTGCACTAGTTCCAGATCCAATGGCTGAAAAACAACAACATGTACACGTTCATAAAATAGCGTCATGAAACTTCAGCTCACCTAAATGTTTAGGAAATATGGTGGCCATGTTTTAAAACAGCCACACTTTTCAGAAACAACAGTAACTGGAATTATTCATAAAGTTTCAACTACAAAGACAATGTAATTTCAGAAACATTAAAAATATAGGGGTATAAGGTCAGAGTGTTCAAACTATGCCTGATAGGCTGTCTGTCAAATTTCATGACCAGGGATAGAAATACTTTTTTTCTAAGTGTGCCTTTGGGCACCAGGCAAATATTTTAACTCTGCCTTTCAGAAATCAAGTGTGCCCACGTTTTTAGAATGAATGACTGTAGCAATGATGATGATCATTTGAAATTTATTGTTAGTAAACAACAAATGTAACCTGTTTTGTGTTATCACTGATTTGTCTTCTGTTTAAGATGGCTTTCTTAAGCATCATGTGTTCTGCTTTCCCAGCACCTTTGATAGCTAAGAATTGTGTGACAGGTTATCTTGTTCAACATACCTAACATACACAATGTCCTCTTCAATAACTGAACTATCAGTACTCCCATCAATCTAAATGGAAAAAAAACCAGATTTCTTTACATCATCCATCATAATTCCAGTAATTTCCTGGGGATGAAGTCAATAAATGTTTTTGCTTGTTTGTCATTTGCATAAGTGTTTTGTTTGGGGGATTAAATGACTTAAAGGTGATTTATGTCTCTAAGAAATTAGGCATGCCATAAGGGCACCGAGAATATTTTTTATCCGTGCCATTTCAACATTTACCGTGCCATTGCACCCTAATATATGGGGTATTTCGAACCCTGATGACACATGCAGAAATGGGGAAAAAATGAGCAAAAATGACATTTTCAAAATGGCCGATTTGATGTCCATGTTTGAACTGGATTTGAATTATGTCAGCAATTTTCAGTGCCATGACATCAGCCAATATTACTTTCAGGCAGGTGAGCCGAACATCAATTGTAAGGTAATGTTAACGAGACGTGTATCTTCATTATTCATACATTGTATGACTGTTCGATGAAGATTGGATTTCTTGAGATTTGCTGCTCTAGTACTTGAATCCTAATGATCTGGTGTCAGATCTGGTGTCAGATGGTGTAGTCAGGTGAAACCTGAGTGACATTGAGTAACAAATACTTTGTGTTGTTTTTCTGGCCAATCAGATATAAGTTTTCAAAAATGATTTGACATAATTTCTTTAATACCTTGATTTGGTACTTTCAGTTTTTCAAAAGAAAACCCACACAGATCAGGGATATTCCTTCAGTGGTACTTGCTGTTGGGTACAGATGCACTTACACACAAGGGCATTAAGGTCATCAATTTTGTACATAAGAAGAAGATAAAGTCATCAATATCCCCGGCAATGGCAAAATGCTCTTCATGATTATGTCTACGAGTTATGATTATGTCAAATATTTAGGTGTGCATATAGAAAAGTGGAAGGAGAGTATTGAAAGGTTTTGAAAGTTCTGCTCCAGAAAGGAGCACTACCACCAATTTCAGTCTAAGTCAAACTTGTTGCCATGGAAACACCAAAAATATTTTATTCAGAATTCCAAAACTACCAAAAGGCACCAGTACACCACCAGATCTATGTATGTGCCAAGTTTGGTGAAGAAACATTGAACGGTTTTAGATTTCTGCTCTGGAAAAGAGCACTACAACTAATTTCAGTTTTAGTCAAACTTGTTGCCATGGAAATGACAAAAATATTTTATTCAGAACTCCAAAACTACCAAAAGGCACAAGTGCACCACCAGATCTATCTATGTGCCAAGTTTGGTGAAGAACTAGCGAACAGTTTTAGAGTTCTGCTCCAGAAAAGAACACTACCACCAATTTCAGTCAAAGTCGAACTTGTTGCCATGGAAACACCAAAAATATTTTATTCAGAATTCCAAAACTACCAAAAGGCACCAGTACACCACCAGATCTATCTATGTGCCAAGTTTGGTGATGAAAGAGTGAACGGTGTTAGAGTTCTGCTCCGGAAAAGACAAATGTGCACGGACGGACGGACAGACACACGGACAGACTCCATTTTAATACCCCCCGCAAAACGCATTGCGGGGGATAAAAATATGCTTAAAATTATGCTTAGAAATTATGGGTAGGGGAGAAGGGGTCATTGATTTTTGTACATGACATGCAGGGGGGGTGGGGGGTTTCACATATTTTGTACATAAATTTTTTTGGGGTGTGTGTGTGTGTGTGTTTCCACTCACATTGTAAAAGCTTCTCCATAAAAATCATCATCACCCCCTCTAGCCATAAATTATGAACGGTCCCTTACCTATATTAAAGCAAGTCATTAGGTTTGTTTTTTGATATATAGAAATATGCAAACAAGTCATTTTGGTTTATTTTGTGAGATGTAGAAATCATATATGGTGGTCAAAATATTTTGCAGACTCGCATCCAAAATATAGAAGCTGATGCTGATTGGCCGAGTGGAAAGTTCACCTGAATGTGTTCTGTGACCATCATACAGGAGATTTTGCATCAGATTGACTGGTTTGTTGTTTAACACCACACTCAGCAATATTCCAGCTATATGGCAACGGTCTGTAAATAATTCAGTCTGGATGAGACAATCCAGTGATCAACAGCATGAGCATCAATCTATATAAATTGGATATGATAACATGTGTCAACCAAGTCAGCGAGCCTGACCACCCAATGCCGTTAGTTGCCTCATAAGAACATACATGGGTTACTGAAGATCAATTCTAACCCGGATCTTCACATATCAATTTCCAAGAAACATAACAAAACAATCACAGACAAATCAATCTTGACCTCATAATTTCATTTAAATAAAGAGGAGAAACTATTCACAGACAAACATTTCCTTGCTTTCACTTAACTGCAACCATATTTGTTTTATCAAACAGCTGGTAGTGAATTTCCTTTCAACATGTGGTTAACAAAAAATCTAAAATCAATGTAAGCAACAGATGTTTTGTGACAGTGGTCTGAACCATGTCAAACATAAAATCCCCAGTCAAAATAGCATCCCAGCTCTGTTGCTTAGCAACACATCACATTGAAATATCACTTGCTTTGTGAGACTTGGGACTGTAATGCATCAGAGCAATATCTAACAGACAACACAGAAAAATGTCGTGATAAGTAGGATATCTTTTAAGTTTCAACACCAGGGCTCCAGATAATTTTTCAACATCCAGAGTACGTACTCCTTATATTTTCAGTATATGAGTACTGGAAAACCTTAAGAGTCCATTTAGAGTACTAAATGGAAATTATTGGAGTATCAGTAATCTTGTGTTTCGTTTCATATATGCACCACAACATTGCTGCTCTTTTGTAAACAGGTCAATGAACAATAAAACAATACTTTTTTCCAATAAATACGTCTGTAAATGATTCTAAGTCCGTACGCCATTGCTGTGGGGCGTATCTGCTACGTTTTCCAAAATATTTCCTACCGTATCGTACATATTTTTTTCTATCCGTACATACGCCGATACGGCCCTTATCTGGAGCCCTGCAACACATTTAGTATAACAGTTTCAAATTTTTCACAAAAACACTTCACTTTTCACACATAGTCTACAATGCACTGAATTTGCTTGTGATGATGATGATGATGATGATGATGATGATGATGATGATGATAAATGAGTGAGTGAGTTGGCTTTTAGCAATATTCCAGGAATATCACGGCGGGAGGCACCATTGATGATGATGATGATGACACATCTATAGGCTCAAAAAAGCTTTATGTTTCATACTTCAAGGTTAATTGAAAACACATTTGAGCCACAATCTCTGAAGTCACACAAACTGATAGTAATAATTTACTCATATTACTCCATTACCTTCATAGATGTGATTACTGGATCTTTGTCTTGGTATATTAGAGAGGTGTTTCATAACATAATAAGGATTCTGCCTCCATAGGCTTTTGGTTTCCATATATACATTTCACAATTCTCTTTTTAACCAAAACAAAATATATGAAACGTAATGTTCATCCCAAACAAACAGCAATATTTACAATGCACCCATTCAGCTAGATCGGAGACAGAAAAAATATACATATACTCACGGATGATAGATAACACAATGTCATAAGCTCAACAAGACCTTAGGTCCTTTTGAGCAAAGTGAAAATCACTAGTTTCTACATTGCATACTGTGTAAGGCTGTGAAGAGGATATATATACCAGTCAGGCCATGGTATTGACTATACATCAATAATCGACATCAATGTCATAACATTGTTACAATCTCTTCAACTTCAACTATTATTGTCCAACATTACTTGATAATAAAATGATAATAATAATCATAAAATACAACCAACAAAGCAGGGTAGCTGGTGAAGGACTGACTAAGCCTCAATGAATAACAATGTCCCATGTAAAACAATAAGCGAAAAATGACTGCTCCCTCGAATACATCCCAACCAACGTATTTGGTACAAAATAACATATTTCACCCAAAATGTATTCACAAGTGCAGGATACTATTCACAGATTTTGCAGTGGCGGTGTCAAACTATGCTCTCTGTTCCCCCAATTTGCACCTTGCGCAGACATTATCGGGGATAGCTTGCAGTAAGCGATGAGCACAAGCATTGCGCCACAAGCAGACGAACTGGAATGATAGGCTTTTTGCATAATGAGATGATACAGAGCAATATGTCGAGGGCCGATCGACTGGTGAGATTAGCGGGGTTGCCATGCACAAGGCCGGTGTGTTTCGGCAATAAACATGATTAAGTATTACCTTCAACACCCCCGCTACTATACAGATTAATATCTGTTGTTGACAGAGGACAGAAAACGCTGAATTTTATTCACCTGTGCTGTGTGTCACTTCGCCCTGCCAAACTACCTCGGCCATGTTCGATTCTTAGGGACCATTCCGTAATTTGGCACTGTTTTTATATTACTTCCGGGATAACGAATACTGCGACGTATTTCGTTCATGAATTTAAGAACTAGATTCGTCATAAAAATCTAATTTAGCAAAATATACCACATTTTGATAGAAATTATTTAAAATTTTGATACGTGTAACCACGAACAACACTGTATACGCCCGAGGTATAACTTACAGAAAACAGAATTTTGGTAAAGTCAGGAATAAATACATTTAGTCTTACAGTGTCGTAGGATTTTGATAATATTTTATAGTTCATATTTTAGATAAAGGCTAATTGGGCTTGAGTGTCATTAACATGTAAAGTTTATCAATATTGACTCATATATTTGAAAAACTCGGAGCAGATAGGCGGGAGACACGTGGTATTTGGTGACACAACGTTTCCCGCCAAAACTAGTCTAACGTTCATGACGGGACGATATTCACACCGTCCATTGAGTACTTCCTCTTCCTAACCGTAACGCAATAGAATACGGATTAGAATTGTCACGATTTTCTACTTATATCTTTCAGCGACAATTTTGCCTTGCATTTAAATAACAGTATAAGCACGATCCTGGCTTTAACATGAACAGGAAACAGTGCATGACTTCGTCCGACAATTGCGTTGCGTGATTATGTAATTTTCATTAAGTTATTGCGTTTATATCCGTATAATTTTAGTATACACGAAATATATATAGAACATTTTACCGTATAATATTCTTCAAAATGAGTGTGCACACCCCTGAGTGAGGGATGAACATGCCTCATGCAGACATCGGAATGTGTATGCTTGGTAGATCCCCTATACAATCCTGAGTGCTTCTCGTACGAACTGCATTGAAGCATAGCCCGGTTAACGGTACATTAGATTCATAGAGTCCGTGTCAATGTAGCCTATAATCAACGGACATATTTCCCTCCATACAGTGTTCAACATTACCTGGAAGGATGATTGATTTGCACTATAACATCGGTCCCAAGATTTTAGTTATCTTATTTAAATATAAATCCACAAAATATAAAACAAAGTCCAAATGGAACCAAGAAAGTGATTATTTCCTCTCTCCGAGGTAGACGAGATTTGCTAAATCGTTCTCGACTTCTTTTCTGAATATATTCTCAAGGATTCTGGAGACAGGCTAGATACAGAATGTGATGATTATATTTACGGACTGTGCTTGGCGCTGTATTAATAATTCATATATCATGTTTATTTATTTACCTGCGCTGATAAGACGCCTGTAGCACATGGATAATACTTCCAAGCTTGTACACTATACTTCAGGAAGTATTACCAGGAAGTTAGCAGGCCTCTGTATAGCTTGCCTGTGGAATAACACCACGCAATATAGATGTGTACAATCTGGCAAACTCTCATTGATTATGACTGTAAAAGACTGACATTTTTCACAAATATTTGGAAGTCGAAAACGTTTTATAAGAGCAAATCAGTTATTAAGGTTTAAGGTTGTGCGGACACCTGCCCATGAATTTGGTCTTTCAGCAACCTCTATTATCCAGCCGCTTGATATATCTCCATCCCATTATGATATGGATGCCCTTATTTTTATAACTGGATGGATGGAGGGTGTATATTATATAATGAAAAAGGTGAATACTTTCTTGTAACTCGCTTAATGACATGCGAGTTTGTATAGAGCTAGTTCATTTGACACCAGGCTTAATATTAGAACGTATATAACCATTACACATCATATGTTAATTTTTAACTATGCCTATGATATATTAATGCGGTAGTTGGTTGGGATTAAATTTCTGTAGAAAACCGACACCCATACTTGAAAGTTATATTCAAACCATGACATATCAAGGGAAATTGAAACACGTAGAATATTTCAATGAATAACAATTTTCAAAATAATTCATGATTATTTTCCTATTATTTATCCCTGCTGACTCGGGTTGGGTGGGGTGGGAGTGAGGGGGATGCATGTATGAAGTAATAGAGCATATTAATTTTAGGTCATAAGTGTTTAGCAGTTCACAGGACGTGTTGTTGTCTTTTGTAGTGTTTTTTGGGCACAAAGACGCAACTCACTGGCTCACTCACTCACTCCGCCGAAGGCCCAGGTTCGATTCCCCACATGGGTACAGCGTGTGAAGCCCATGTCTGGTGTCCCCCGCCGTGATATTGCTGGAGTATTGCTAAAAAAACAAATTTTAACTCACTCACTCGATGTAGTGTTTTTTTAAAATGTTGCTTGACTAGTGCTTTGTATGTGTTAACTCTAAGTATACATTAGTTATGTTGTGCTCCATGGCAGTGCTTAAGGCTAATTTGATCTGGCCTAATCGGTAAGGAGATGCTAGCGGGAAGTATTAGTAAGTTGATAAGGAAGGAAGGAAAGTATTTTTATATTGTATAGAGTTTAATTCATTAATGTTTTTGACTGATGGGATGCCTATAAGTATAGGGGAGGTGGGTTGTCCATGTTAAGTGTAAAAAAATACTTCTCTGAATTTTGCTTCTATTTTTTTAAAATATAATTCCCTCATTGTTTAAGTGTAGTTTGGGTATTGAATACACTGCATGTAAAGTGAAAAGTGTTTCGTTTTACTAAACCGAGAGGCAAAATAACGTTTTTCCTGTATTTTTCATAGATTTGAGATAAAACATAAAACTACATGAACCTTTATTTCACTGCAGAAATTCTCCCTTCAAGCAAATGATAGTGTATTCTGGAAGATATTTTGTCGCGGTTATGGTTATGAAGATAATAACTCACGTATAACATATATACTGAAGGCAAATTATAACGGACTAAGCAGTCCCTCGCTCTGCTATTCTGCTTTACTTTATACAGAGGTGGTATCCTTCCCAAGGATAGACGAATGTCACATGGGATTAAATGTAAATGTTTACATCATTCGCGTGAGAGAATGTTGTTTAACGCCGCAACCAGACACATATATCACGTTATAATGTTCCTGTAAAATGTGGAGTGAGTGAGGTTATTTTTACGCCGCTTTAAGAAATGTTCCACCAATATCCCGGCGGAGGACACAAGAAATGGGCTTCATATATTGTACCCATGTGTGTACCACATTGTACCCAACGGTCAACCCCATGGGGTACGATGACCCCTGTCAGTTAGCCAGATCATAACTGACCTCTCGATTCCCATTTTACAGTCGGCCCTGTGGACAAGCATGGGAAATACTTCAGATTTTTTGGCCATACGTTCAACTGAAAATTATTTAGGACTTGTCTAGTTAATCCTCAAATGATGTCATGTAAATTTAATATTATCAAAACCAGTACTATTCAAAATATCGTTTATGACTTTTTCATGAGTTAATTATAGATTGTATTGAATAGTTTGATGTTCTTATTGACAAAAATCGCGTTTAATAGATTTAGTTGTATTAATGGTCAGTTTCATGATATTAATGGTGCAATTCAAGTCGATAACAGCAACAACATACTTTAAACATGTATTATACGCTGATGCCCCCCAAAACCTATGCTTGGATTAAACAATATCCATGTATAGATAAGACCATAGACAAAAGCACCTTGCCAAGTATTACTAGCACTCGTGGTTCACCTAAACCTAATATTGTAAGCACGCGATGCTAATGGCCCCTGCATGGGGCCAGCACGTGGTACTGGTGACATGTACACTTACCACATATACCAACTATTATATAAACCTTTCTTATGATTCCTGACACTTTTGGAGGAGGCTGTATCTGAAGGTATGTCGACTGCTGCGCAAATGGAATGACTGGACAGACTTCAGAGGGAGCGATCATTTAATTTTCTCGAGGATGCTTATAAATTTTTTAAAGACATAATATTTTTTCGGACGCTGTCCCAAGACGTAATAATTTCTCTTAAAGTAGCCGAACAATCGTATTATTACATTTATTTATTTTTCTAGACAAGCTGTGGAGAAACTGTTAAATGATCGGTCCCTCGTGCCCGCAAAGTGCTGAAGATGAAACTATTCATTTAGTCTGGTCTGAATTAATTACGTCATCATCCATTTGTTTCTTTAAATTAAAGAGGTACCTAATTTTTACTTAAATGCAATGCCGAAACTAACCATTTTGACACATTATTATTGAAACACAAATATATGACAAAAGCGATGTTTTGGTGCGGCAGGTTTTTGAAGGATGTGGGCGGTGACAATTATCTATTGATTACATACTATCCATGCATTTAGATATCACTATGACAAAACACAGTTAGCAGGTGTTTGCTATTTTCATTTAGCTGTTATTAATATAATACAGTTGCCATAATATATATACGAATATGGTTTTAGACAGTGTGCATTTCGTATTTTTTCCAATATTTTTATAAGTATAAACGTTTTGGTTACTTTATTATTTAATCATCTCAGTAAGGTAATACAAGGGTAAATCGAACTATCCATGGCTTCATAAACTAATTGCCTCTGTAATGTAAGCTTTCAAAGACATCATACGACAGAGGTAATATTGACCAGGGTTACATCATTCAATGCCTGGGAAACACCTTCGAAACACCAGGTACATGGTTTATGAACACAGTCTATGATAAAATCGGAATTGTACAATATACTCTGTTTAAGTAGACATTGCGTATGATTTTGTAGAAGTGTTTTTTGCATTTATTTCAAGTGCGTGAAGAATAGGGTACAAGACTGTCAGTAACAGATTGATGAACACACCTGAGATAAGTCAGATTGAACATTTGACGGGGAGAGAGAAACTGCAAATAAGAGCTGTGGTTATGCCTTTGTATAAACACTTTAGGGAATACAGGACGAGAGGACAAGCATGCTTTGGGATAACTGTCCTTCATATTTGATTGCTGAAAAACCCTGCTGAGACTAAATGATGCAGAAGTTGGAGACTAAATGATGCAGAAGTTGGACGTTGTTCAGATAGTGTGTCAGAAATGTACACAAGAAATATACGTCCAGATATTTCCAGGTTGGCACTGCTTCTAGAAGTAAAAAACATTAATACTTCTTGAACCATCCTAGTTCTGGCTGTCAAGGGGAGGCTGTCAAGCATGGTTTTGGTGTTCGGGTCAAGACAGATAGTCTAGGGGCTAGTCTCATAACAAGTTTAAAATCGTTGAGATGTTTTACTAACATGTATCAACAGACCATGGAATGCTTTTCTGCTGTCTTGGGCAGATTTCAAACAAAAGGTATTCAGGTTGTAAATCATGATAGAATCATTTGTTGACAGTGTCGCATTTAATTATTTTCAGAATATTTGTTTCACATTTCAGTGATCGTACTTCATCAATTGTGCACATGTTTAGTACATTAGGTTAAGATTTTCACAGTAACTTGGCAATGCAATTACCCTACGGCGACAGTAAGGAGAGTAATTGGTGGAAATCGCTTGAATGAACCTGGGATATGCTCCAGTCATCATCCAGACTGGGATAGAAGGCAGAAAGGTGTATTAAGATGTTGTAGTGTCTCTATAACTCTCGACAGCGATGATGACAGTCTTCCAGGGGACAATAAAGCTTTATCCAATGTTGTAAAGGTCTTTGATATTTGAGTAATATTTTCATCCAAACTGATGATGAATTGTTTGGTGACAAAATCATCGGGATGTTCCTATTTCGCCTACATCCCCTTTCGCCTACATCCCATTTCGCCTACAGTAATTGAGGATGGCAACTCATCCATCCCTCATTCAGTGAATGGGATGGCCCACATTTCCTGCTCAGTGTCGTCAAAATAATATGTTTACTGTTTTGTTTTGTTATTTTATTAATTAAAGTGGTTTGTTGCTTAATAATGTAAATTACTGTAATAGGTTTGA